TTACATAGTAATGCTAGCCTAATAAATCAGAACAAGAGCATATAATGTAAATAAGATTCATATCATGATTAGTAGAGGCTGATCTTTGATCGAGCGAGCAAGGGTGCTCAATTCATGATCTTTCCCTTTCGTACCTAAGTTCCCAAGATGAGACAATCTTGGTGATGAAGGACACGTGGCCTTTGGCACGAGTCATGGGTTTCCTAAATTTCCCAAAAACATTTAGCTGATGACTTTGTATCTGACAAAGTAGTCTATTTTTGGCAATTTGATTCAAAATCAATTTTTCAAAAGATTTTTCGGATTGGGACTATTTGGTGATTATCTATTTCATATTGCACTTATGAGATCAGATTCAGAACCGCAAGAGTCCGATACTGTAAGGCTTATTCGTCTTTCAAAAGAGGGCGCGAAAAAGTCGAGCTACAGTTTCTGGCGACTCTATTGAAGAAATTAGAGAACTTGACTCGAACTTCATGATATGAAAGTTTATCTACACTTATATGTTTCTTTGCACCTGGAGCCACTGCCCATACTACTAATGTCCAAGAGAATCAGGGCAATCCAGCAGAGCTGATCCCACTACAAGCCTCTAAAGCACTTGTGTATCAAACCGAGGCTCCGTTTCAATTTGAGGTTGACCCAATTGAGCAAAAGGTGTTAACTCCATCCCTGACATAGAAGACGGGTATATCGACTCTACAGTGACTTTGCCAGATCGGTTCAAAATGCTGCACATTGATTGATTCGAGGGCTCCGGAGATCCCATGGTTCATCTACGGCTATTTTCAGACATCCTGTGACCGTTGGGCCTGATCAGATTGTAGAAGCTCTCTCTCTTTGGCCGTACCATGTCTGGTATAGTGGCCATATGGTATGTGAAGCTGGAGGATTCAATTAAGCAGAACTGGGAGGAAATGGCCGAGGTCTTTATTGCTCAGTACTCGTATAACACATAAATCAAGGTCACAACTCGTGATCTTGGGGCAGCGCGTCAAGAGCCAAATGAGGGCTTTTCAGAATTTGTGATGAGGTAGAGGGCTAAAGCTTCAATGATGACCACAAGGCCTTCTGAGAAAAATCAGATAAGGATGATAGTCTGCAATCTGCACAGGAAGTTGTTGCAAAAAATGATCGTCCTACCTCTGTTCACATTCACCAAACTCCATGAAATAGGCGTTCAGATCGAAGACACCATGAAACAATGGTTGATTACTGATGAGAAAGAGCAGGCAAAAAGGCCTTTTGTTCACAATTCCAATGCTACCACCAGTGGTAGCACAGCTGCAAAGCCGTCGGATGTGAGCGTTGTTACAACCACAACCAAGACTACTAATCCCTTTGCCAACACAGCTTCATAAACTTCAGCCAACTCTGCCTGATCCTAGAGGACCTTTACCCTACTCTATATGACCCTATCTCAAGCCATGAGGGTGTTGGTAAAAAAAAGGCACCTCAAACCATTAGAGCCTCGCCCACTACCTGATCCTCTTCCACCCAAACACAACCCAGTGAAGTACTGCGCATTTCACCAGCAGCATGGTCATGATACAAACCAATGTTTCCGACTGTGTTATGAGATTAAAAACCTCATTGACAACAAGGTGATTGCATCACCCTAAAAACCAAATGTAACTACAAACCCTCTCCCGGCCCACAATCAAGTTCCTCCACCTCAAAATCTAAACTTAATCCATACACTGGCTATCCCCTACGACCCCAGCGTATATATTATCCTTTCCCACATACCAAGACCGACGGTGTTCATTCTTGAAAGCACAAATTTGTGCATGATGGACACGTCCACACTTCAACCTAAGCCTATGATGGTGATAGTTACAGTAGAAAGGAGGCTGGTCTTAGAGGAAAGTATGAGTCCTTTGCCGGAGAGCTCCGAGGACTTGACTAAGGGGATGTCGATTGATCAAGTCAAGCTAGAATTGGTGTTGCCAACTGTAGTGGAAGTTAATGTGGTTAGGGAGGATGGCCCAAGTCCAGGGTTGGATGATCTAGTTATGACGACCCTAACTCCTAAACTAGTACATTATATAATTTAAATAAGTTTAATTGCATGATTATGTGCTTGATTGTGTGATTATGTGTTTAATTCTATAATTATCTGTTGATATATGGAATATTTGTTTAAATTGATAACTTATAATCAGAAATTGAAAGCCTAAATGACTTCAGAAGTTGAAATTGACTAGCCCAATAGGCTAATTGGAATATTTAGAATTTTATGGTGACTTCAATTGAAATTTGATTTGGATCAAAATAATTAGAATAAACTAATTGAATTAGTTAGAGTTAAACCCAATTCATTAAACCTAACCATGTTTGATTAGGCTAACTTAATCACATCCTGTATAAGGCTCTAACTAAGCTCTTGAACTCATTTTATTTGCACACTCAGCTGAGAATTGAGAGAGAGGAGAGCTTAGTTCAACATTTAGAGTGGTACAGAAGAGATTGTAGAGAATTGTGGAAGATTGAAGGGTTGGAGCTATAACACTCTTGGATTCACACAATAGGTATGAGATTCATCCTAAATTCTTAGAATTGTACCATGTAGAAACTAAGTTCATGGAGTTATAGGATCATTAGATTGAATTTGAAAAGGTTGAGCATGAGTTGTTATGAATAGGATGAATTGGAGTTGAATTACATACATAGATGCATAATTTGAGTTTGAATTCATGAAAATCCTACATGCATGACACATTTACACCTTAATTTGGAGAATCCTCCATGTTTTCATGCTTCTCATGCCACTTGATCATGTTTTGAATATGTTTTGAAGAGATATGTATCCAATTTGAATTAAACATTATTTTACGACTTGAAATTGAAGTTAATGGTTGAGAATTTGCCATGATTTTGAATAAATGGTTTCAATTGGAAGTGTTTTCATGTTATATAGTGATTCTCTATGTTTTGTACCAAAAACCTAAGATTTGAGACTTTGAATATCAAGTTTGAACTTCAAACACAGTTCTGGAAATTCCAAAATCTGTGTTGTCCGCTTGAGCGAGGGAGTTCACGCTCGAGCGTGGAGCTCGAGCTCCCAGAAGTTTCTAAAATTTACAGTCCGCTCGAGCGACCAAAGTGGCGCTTGAGCGAGGACCCCTTTTCTCAGTCTTCTGCTCGAGCGACCATCGAGCTGGAAATTCATGTATCTAGTACTTTTGCAGACTGCTCGAGCGACTTAAGTTACGCTCCAGTGACCACCCTTGTTTTTGGACCCTTGCTCGAGTGAAGGAAGTCATGCTCGAGCAGAGACCCTGTTTTCAGCAAAATTTTACTAACTCTTCTAAGTGCATTTTTGCATCCTCATGCCACTCCAAGCATTCTTAGGCACCATTTGGACTCCGTTAATCATACAATAAGTTAAAGATGCATAAAGAGAATTGAATTAAAATGAAATGGAATTTCATTTGTACTTTGTTATGAGCTTCGTTTAGGTGGACGTCGAGGCTAAGTGTCACCGCAAACCACTGTGACTAATAACCTTATAAAGATATGTTCAAATTATCTTTACTTTCGAAAATGTTATTGTTATCAAAATGGATATGTGATTGATGGAATGAATAAAATGATTTGATGATTGATAGCATGGCTAGTTGAAATGTTATGACCTATAATGAATGAAGTTCTATTTTGAAACGATATTGTGGCATCCATTGAATATAGGCCCTTGCCTGGGGGTAACAATACCATGGCTATAGGCCCTTTCCTGGGGGTAACAATATCATGGCTATAGGCCCTTACTTCGGGGTAATAGTACCATGGCTATAGGTCCTTGCTTGGAGGTAATAATACCATGGCTATAGGCCTTTGCCTGGGGGTAATAATACCTTGGTTAGGCCCTTGCTTGGGGATAACAGTACCATGGCTATAGGCCCTTGCCTGGGGGTAATAATACCATGGCTAGGCCCTTGCCTAGGGGTAACAGTACCATGGTTATAGGCCCTTGCCTGAAGGTAACAATACCATGGCTAGGCCCTTGCTTGGGGATAATAATATCATGGCTAGTATGACACGTCATCATTGGAATGAAATTGCCATTTCATGGATGTACCACAAATAATAGTCCTATTGGCTTTTGTTACTACAAAGAGATGCTTTTATGGCTAATCAAAATGTTTTGTTGTGAATTCGATCTATTATGGCGAATGCCTCATTTGAAAATGATTTAAGATTCATTTCGGAACTGTAAGACATGTTTTTGTACTATTGTCGAACTTCATTCATTTAACCTCTTTATTTTGTTATTACTCATTGGGCTTTAGCTTACTGTTTACTTATATATGTAATTGTAGGTGGGCAAACGGAGCCTCAGAGTTAGACAGCCTCGAGTTTACCTGGGTCAGCCTTTTGTGGAGCTTCCAAGTGAAGTAGTCAGGCTTGTGTGGAGCCATGCTTGTCAAACCCCTTTTGTGTGAATTTATGGTTTTGTATTTGTACATAGTTAGGGTTGTATTTTTTTGTAGACATGAATTGTACTCATGTTGGGTCTAACTTGAAACACAGCCTTGCTTAACGTATTTGCTCTCCTCATATATGCACAGCTCAATGGATGAATTTTATAACATTTTGGACTTCCGCTAAGCCTTGTATTTTATTTTAAAGGTTTATTTGTATGGAGGCCGTAGGTAATCTATGATTACTGGCCGCTCATGATGCTAAACCTATAGGGGCGAGTTTGGGTCGTGACAGAGTGGTATCAGAGAATGAGTTATAACTCACTCACTTGTCCATTAAGCTATAGAGGGTCTAGAAGATACTTTAGGAATGCATTCATATGCATTTGATATGTTAAGTGAGATAACCTTGTGATTATATATGCAACTGTGTACATGATTATCTGTATATATATATATATATATATATTGTTTGTTCTAATACAAAACTTCATATAGAAAATGGTGAGAACCAGAGGTGATGAAATAGAGGAGGCAGCCTCCTCAAGACTGGATAGAATGGAATGAATGATGCAAGACATGGCTGAAGCCATAATACAACAACAACAATGGCAACAACGGCAACAACAACCACCTCCCCCACCTCCAATGCCTGTACCACCTCCAACTCCAGGGTGTCAGCCGGAGACCTGTACTATTGCCTTAACCAAGGAATTTAAAAAGATGAAGTCACCACTGTTTCATGGCGGAATTGAACCGTTGAAGGCCAAAACTTGAGTCTTGGGCATTGAAAAGTTGTTTGAAGTGTTCCCATGTATCGAAACTCAGAAAAGTGCAATTAGTAGCATTCACCCTAGAAGATGATGCTAGACGTTGGTGGATGTTAGTGCAAGATGATAATAAGGATCTTACTTGGGCTCGATTTCTAGAAATTTTCTATGAGGAATATTTTCCCTAATGCGTGCAGGATAGAGAGGCAGCTAAATTCATGGAACTCAAACAGGGAAATAAGTCAATTGCTGAATGTGAGGCTCAGTTTACAGAATTAGCTCGCTTTACACCCCACATAGTAGACACAGATTATAAAAAGGCCAGATAGTTTGAAGGAGGGTTGCGTGATCCAATTTTGGATAAAATCAATGTACTCAAATTACCGACATACGTGGAGGTACTTGATAGGGCACTAATAGCGGAAAGAAATGTGGCCAGCCGTAAACAAAACTTCGAATGGAAAGGTAGAAAACAGAATTTTAGTAAGGGAACTACTTCATCAAACAAGAAGTTCAAGTCGGGGAATTCTGGTAATACTGGTTCAAGCCAAAGTGGTGATTCAACATCAGCTTGTACTACTTGTGGAAAGAAACATAGAGGTGTATGCTACCGTGCAACAGGGGCTCGTTATCACTGTGGGAAGTTTGGGCGCATTGCCAAGGATTGCACTCAACCACGTCAGGGTGGCAACCAAGGTGCCACAAGCTCAATTGGGTCAACTTCCACAACGAAACCAGCTGCAACATCACCCACCACAAGAAATGAACAAAGGCAAGAAAGGGTTTTTTCACTGATTCCGGGGGATACTCAAAATACTGAGGTAGTGGTGTCAAGTACAATCGCTCACTTATACTTTAATTGATTACGGATCTACACATTCGTTTATTTCTATGGCTTTTGTTGAAACTTTGAATAGACCTATGGAAACATTGAATTATATGCTATGTGTTGCATCACCTGTGGGGAGATCCATGCTATGTTCAACTATGTTTATTGCATGTGAATTATTTCTCGGGGATGCTACTTTGTATGCTGATTTAATACCTTTAGACATGGGACATTTTGATGTTGTTTTGGATATGGATTGGCTAACTAAATACTATGCAACTATTGATTGCGCCTCAAAACGAGTAATATTCCGACCTCCCGGGCAAGATGAATTTTATTTTGAGGGAAATGGGGTAGTCTCACCACCATACCTTATATCTGCAATGAAAGCCCGAAAACTAATGAATAAGGGTCGTCAAGGGTATTTGTGTAGTGTAATAACCGAAGCAACAGTAGACATTACTCTAGACAGTATACCGGTGGTGAGAGATTTTCCTGATGTGTTTCCGAATGAATTACTTGGCCAACTTGTTGATAGAGAAATTGAATTCATAATTGATGTAATACCGGGAACTCGACCAATTTCTAAAACTTCCTACCGTATGTCAACTACTGAAATGAAAGAATTGAAAATTCAGTAGAAGGAATTTCTTGATAAGGGGTTTATCAGACCAAGTACATCCCCATGGGGCGCACCGGTATTTTTTGTTAAAAAGAAAGACGTCACTCTCCGATTGTGCATTGATTACCAAGAGCTCAACAAGGTAACAGTGAAAAATAAATACCCTTTGCCGCGTATTGATGACCTGTTTGACCAGTTGCAGGGGGCACAGATATTTTCAAAAATTGATTTGAGATCTGGATATCATCAATTAAAGGTTAAAGCTGAGGATGTTGAAAAGACTGCCTTTCGAACCAGGTATGGGCATTATGAGTTTTTAGTCATGCCATTTGGGGTTACAAACGCGCCTGCAGCATTTATGGATTTAATGAATAGAATTTTCAAACCTTTCTTAGATGACTTTGTTGTTGTATTCATTGATGACATCTTGATCTATTTGAAAAGTAAAGATGAGCATGAATGACATTTGAAACTAACTCTTCAAACACTTAGAGAAAAACGGTTGTATAGGAAATTTAAAAAGTGTGAAATTAAACAATTGTATGGGAAATTTTAGCAGAGGAGGTTGTACTACCCATTAAGAGCACAAACAACATGAATGTGACATTAATCACCATTGAAGAAGAACAACAACAAAAATATGATGATGCACAAGAAGCCATTTCTAAGTACAGTGAGAGAGAATGTGTTGAGAGAACATGCCACTTGCAGGATTATATACACTTACAAGGCTAGGTACAAAAGAATGTTGGTATTTTTTTATAATAATATTAGAAAAATATATTAAATTAAATTAAATAATAATGACAAAATAAACTATTTTTTTAATTAAATAATGAAATATAGAATAAAGTACATGGAACATATTTCAAGACGGATTCACATAGACATACAAAATAATATACAAAAATAGTTTTAATCTAAAAATTCCAAAAATAAAAGATAAAAAATGCAAACCAAAACCTGTGTAATCACAGTTTCCTTAAAACAGATTCACTGCCTCTTGATGGGTGTTGGAGGTACGCTGTCGTCTATCTTCCAGAATACGACGATCAGAACCAACTAATGCAAAAGTACCTTTTGAATAGATTCGGCAAACTTGACAATGGCGTCATTCTCTCTCTAACAGGAACCAAAGAAGGGGCTAGCAACGAAGATAGGAAAAAAAAATTGGTATAAAAATAATCTCCAATTTTATTATCTCAAAACACCATCTCATTTCTTATAAAAAATCTCTCTAAAATTATTCTATGAAATTGGAGGGGAAAACCTCTATTTATACTTGTACGGGAGAACCTTAGCCATGAAATCTAACCTCAATAGGATCATCAAATTGCCATTAACCAATGCCATCAACTCTAGCCATTAGAGTTAGAGTTACAAAGGTTAAAAACTCATGACCACTAATATAGTCATCAACTTTATCATCAAAAGATGAGAGTTACGAAAGTTTAAAATTTTCATATGATTAAAATACACAAATAAATATCTAAGAAATTTAGTTTAGTAATTGTGTAGCAACCTTTGTAGTGTGAGATTTCAATAATTTAACTGTTATAGAGATTAAAGTAATGCTACACATCATGAAATAAATATCATGAAAAATTTCATGAAACTAATCCAAGAATGATTACATAACATACAATAAAACACTACAAACACTATAAATTAATCCAAGGGTGGAGAATCTTCATGAAGACTTTTGATGATATTTCTTTCATGATACCTAGCATTATTGTAGAGATTGTGGGACTAGTAGGCTTGGTAATTAAGTAGTAGTCAAGTGGTAGGTTAGTAGTTTGTTTGATAATGTATTAATTTTTACATTTGTAATTATTGTTTTATTGATTGGAAAAAAGAAAAAAATCAATAATACGAGGTTTTCGCGGATCGGGTTGGGCTAAGTCCCATCCGTTATCTATTGGAATTGAGGCAAATTAAAAAAAATCAATCCATATTTATCTGCTTAGTTAGTAGATGCAGATTGAGTGAATCGTGCAAATTGGCATGTGGATACAAACCACCAAACTTTACTGTTCTATGCTTCTTCTTTTTTCTTTTTTTTCTTTAAAAAAAAAAAAAACTATTTTAGAGTAGTTTTTTTTATTACTTTGGGCCTTGTTTGAGTCCAAACTTTTTCATTTTTTATAATTAATAAAGGTTAAATTTTCATATTTCATATGTAAGTAATATTATTACTAAATAATTAATTTTTTAATATTCAAATCATAAAAATATAACATTCTTTTTTGAAGGGAGTTGGTAGATCGAATTAGGTCGAATGAACTTTCATCTGTCATCTGTCTGAACGTAAAAAGATTTGAAAAATCTTCATCCGCATTCGTCTGTCCATACTCGCTTAAAAGTGGATGGATTTAGTCTAATTAT